ATTAATACTCCTACATGCTATTGAAAATGGAGATAAGGGCCGGCCTGATGGGCCACTTGGCTCACATCCAGACTTTTTACCTTATCTTACAGTGTACATGTACCTTAACCTCTAAGAAGAGGGACCTCGTCAGCTTATTAATATGCAAGTTGCATCCATTTTAGATGGGATCTAGTACCATTGATAAATACTTACTTGTCTACTAAGTCAAGAAGTTTGTTTAAAAGTCCTGAGCCTTGGTCTAAGCCATCAGCAGTTACCTGAGAAAAAACAGAGGGGCTAAAGACATTAAAAAGTAGTAAATGGACTCAGGAAAACATGTAGTTTTGTACCTTAAAGAAGTCAACCAAGGACCAAGGCCTCGTATTATTCATATCAATTGTGAATTAATCATGAAAATACAATTATGGCTTTTGAAAACACAACAGAGGGAAACCGCAAACCCCAGCGGAATGTTTTCGATAATTATATATTTCTCACGTTTAAAAGCTTGTAATCATTGAACAGCTACATGTACATGTATTAAGTGAGCAGTTGATCTGTCCAAACCACCTGCAATCTTTACAAGTGAGCTGGCCTCACAAGTTTAATACAGGCAACCTACAAGTTTACAAAAGAACATGTTACATGAAATATCTACATGTACTTCTTCCATTATTGTCAGTACTTACTACTTTAGTAGGGTTAGCATAGGGATCATGTGTTGGAGTTTCCCTTGTGGTGTGAATTTCATCTCCTCTACCTATCTTGTCGGCAAGAGGTCTTTGTGATTGCTTTGGAGAAGACTGTCTTTTTCTAGAAGGTGACAGTTCATATGACCTTGCAGATAATGGCACATGTGAGTCCTGTACTCTTTCTTGCATCCCACGAGTGTCACACCTGACAGATATCTCAGAGCTAGGCTCTTCTTGCATGTGTCTATGGTCACGTGACCAAATATTATCACTGGGTGTCAATGAGTTGTGTAGTTGTCTAGGTGATGTATTATGATTTGTTGTCCTGGGGTTGGGTGTAAAGTGTCCTCGAGTGGAGATTGTTGTATAAGCACTTGTTTCATCTGCATATTTCAGATTTGGGTCGTCACTTGTTCTGATGTTGTCATCAGCGAAATGAACATAAGCTCTGTCCTTGTGTGGTCTGACATCAGGAGCTTCCACAGGATTCCTGGTATCTGACTTGTGTCTTGAGGATGCTGTTGTTACTGGGAACATTTTGTGGAGTTCTAACAGAAAGAACATTAACAATTTAAGTATAACACTAAGAACCAAAAATTGTTACATGTAGTTGCAATCATGGTACAATTCAAATAAACAGGCAACTACTAATTTAAAACAAAATGCTGAGCTGGACATGGTCAATCATCATGGAGCCCTGAGTGAGATGGTGTTATTGCACAGCATGTACATTGTACATTTTAAGGCATGAGCTGTGTTACATTAAAAGGAAGAACAGGCAATTTATTATTACCTAGGTTGAACCATTAAGTAAACATACCATCCCTGGTATAGCTCTCTACATTAGGCTCTCTTGCTACTGAGCCAGAAACTCCTCTTCCTTGCGTCAAGTCTCCACCAGTCCGCGATATGAGATCAAGGACTGCTACATCATCATCTTCTAAAACTAAATTTATACCATGTACACATAGGTTGAGAAAGACGGCATCACTACAGAGGCTTTGATTCAAGACACTAACCCTAACTCTAACCCTTAAATATATATACACAGGGAGATGCTGACTAAAAGTGATGTTTCCAGCTGAAATACAATGAAACCTGCATATGCAGTCACTTATGAGACCTTGCTTATTAGAAGCACCTGTGTTTAAATACTAGAAGGTTTATTTTACAAACTGAAAATATGACCAG